CATATCAGATATTTACATTACGATTCATAACAGTAGCAACATTACAGTTATGAAGTAGCAACGAAAATAATTTTATGGTTGGGTCACAACATGAAGAACTGTATTTAAAGTGCCAGAAGGTTGAGAACCACTGCTCTAACCCATTGCAGGCCTTCCTGTCAGCATACGTGAGGCTAACGGTGGTGGCCTCTGACATTCTAAGTGAGGGGTGTCCCAGTATTGTTAACGCCATTAGGAGGAAAACACAGTGGAATACCTAGCTCATACCACATACCCTGAGGTCTGGTGGATGAAAGATTTAAATGGACTAGTTGCTAAAAAAAAACCCTGTGTTCAGCCAATGAGAATAGAAACCACTCTAGCTACTTTAAGCAGAAATGAGTTTAAGTACAGAAACTTGGGTGCTTATAAAATCACTAGAGGACCCTGGCCGATTTGGCTCAGTGGATAGAGCGTCGGCCTGCGGACTGAAAGGTCCTGGGTTCAATTCCAGTCAAGGGCACATGAGAACTGCTCTCCGACTAAGCACTCATCTCCCAGATGAGGAAACTGGTTCAGGAGCCACAGCCCAGATGGCGGTTACTTTATAGGAAACTGGCTCTCAACCTGGAGCCTGACTTCAGGCCAGTTCTCTTCCCAAAGCGCCTCATTGTCATCTCTCAGTTGTTTTGTTTTTTTGTTTTGTTTTGTTTTCTTCGGTTTGGGTTGGGTTTAGGAGGTGTTACTAAAGTGTTGGGGTCTTTTCATTTTGTCCTTACAGTGCCAGAACCTACCAAGACCTGTTCCAGCCAGCCCCAGCCTGCCGGTACCGGGACCAGTACTTCCACCAGCACTCTCTCCAGCAGCAGCAATGGCAAGCGCGCACCTGCCGGCGGCCAGCAGCCAGCTGTGTCCCGCTACCTGCCTCGTGAGGTGCCTCCGCGCTTCCGCCAGCAGGAGCAGAAGCAGCTACTGAAGAGGGGCCAACCACTGCCCGCGGGGGCTCTGACCAGTGCGAGCCCCACCCAGGGCGCTGGGCCTGCCGGGGTGAGCCCTCCTCCCCTCCCTGGAGCCGGAGCGCAGCCACAGCCCAGCAAGCTCCAGCCAGGTGAGCCACGGAGGGCGGCTTCTCCTCTGGGGTCGTGTGCTGTTTCCCACTCGGCGGCCCAGGAATAGAAATGGACACCTTTGGGCCCATAGTCAGTATATACATGTGATAGAGCTAGCTAGCTAGATGATAGATACATAGATAGATGATAGATAGATAGATAGATAGATAGATAGATAGATAGGTAGGTAGATAATAGGTAGGTAGGTAGCTAATTGATAGATAATAAGTAGAAGATAGGTAGAATTCATTTCAGTTGGATTTTGAAGTTTAATTCTGCTTCCCCCTACTTATTCATATGAGTTATTTCTCATGTTTTCAGAGGCATTAGCGACTTGGTTGCTCACAGAAAGCAAAGGTCTGTCAGCAGGCCAGTGACCTTCGGCAGTGGGCAGAGCCCTGCGGGAGACTTCGCAGCGAGGCCCTCGCTGGGTCACTAGGAGAGCGCAGGGCCGCACACCTTCTTTGCAGGGAGGTGATGGCGTTGAATGGGAAGTGGATGGTTCTAACTGTAGCGTCTAACCTTAAAGCCAAACCTGTCGGCAGCTTGGCGTGCAGTGTCTCGGGTTCTGACCCACCTGCTTCTGCTGGCGTCTCTGCCTGCAGCCACCTCCAGCTGCTCTTGGCTCCAGGAGAACTGCCGCTTGCCCCCTCGCTTTCCAGCTTCCAGAGGTGACATCTCCTCTGTCACCTGTTCCCGGCTTCTTGACCTCAGGGATTTAGATTTAAAAATGCTTTCCTGGAGTTGTAGCGAAGGTTTTGGGAGAGAGCAGAGTACCTGTGGGAACTGTCACATTTCTGTGGTGCCCTTAAGTCTCTCCGCTTTAACAGTTGGCAGGGTCCTGGCGTGGGAACCAGGCTTGCTGATGGCAGTGAAATTCAGGTCTGTAATTGGAGAAGCAAGGAGGCTTCTCGTATGAGATTGGAATTTAAAAGAAACATGTCACAGATCATATTAATATGTTTCTCTTTCATACACTGACTTAATATGGGGAATAATTGCAACATGACACAAAAGTATTTATAGTGTATTTCTCAAAACCGAGACTTTGTGGTATATTCGGAACAAATATTTTTAGACAGCTTTGCTATGTCTCTTCAAATAATCTTGACTCTCCTTGCTAAGTTCCTGGTCAAGGGGATGTAGGTCAAGAGAGAAAAGAAATGGTCAAACATACTCATTTAACAAGAATATAATTCCCCTCCTTCACTGCAAGCAGTTGGTAATCAGACAGATGGTCACTCCTGGTGGTGTGGCTCAGTTGGTTGAGCGTCCTCATGTGCACTGAAAGGTCACTGGTTCAGTTCCCAATCAGGGCACATGCCCAGGTTGCAGGCTTGATCCCCAGCAGGGGGCACGAAGGAGGCAGCTGTTGGGTATTTCTCTCCCTCTCCCTTCCTCTCTCTCTAAAATCAATAAAAACATACTTTTTCAAAAGCATATGGTTACTTTCTGCACTGGAATACGGTCCTCGGGACAGCCTCACAGAGACAGGAGCTGTGCAGTCACAGTCACCCCGAAATAGGGCGCCGCGTTTTTTGAAACAGAAAAAGAATGCCCCAGCCTGCTGTTTCCTGGGCTTGTCTCGTTGTTACATGATTCGATGCCAGTATTGCATCAGTGTTTTCATCAACTGCTGTTGGTGCAAAATTTTGCTGGTATCTACTCAAATAAGAATAAAATAAGAAATTTTTTCAGTAAAATTTTTTTATGAAAATGTTTTTTAATAAAACATTTGTCTCTGTAAGTATGTTTCTAGAAAGTTATTGTGCAAAATTTTGCTGGTATCTACTCAAATAAGAATAAAATAAGAAATTTTTTCAGTAAAATTTTTTTATGAAAATGTTTTTTAATAAAACATTTGTCTCTGTAAGTATGTTTCTAGAAAGTTATTCCTAGTTTATTATATATATATATATATATATATATATGCACACACATACTAGTATATAATGACTAGATCATTTTATGTCTAAACATCTCAGAAAATGCCATTAATCTACATGATATTAATAAAATAAATGATTAATTTTCGGCTCACAAACAAAAGTCTTGGTTTTATACCAATTTCATCGTTCCCAGCAGCCTCTGGGGTCAGAGCCAGACAAACCTTTGAACTCGCCCCCTTGCATTGGCTCAAGGTCCCTCTGCCGGAGGGGTCTCTGGGCTCCTCCTTCGCAGCCTGTCTGGCCGGCGCTGCCTGCTGCTCCCGCGCTGCTTTCCCCTCGCACCGGGCCTCTTCCTCACGGTCTCACACGTGCCCGGCTCAGCGTGTCTCCCCAGCGCGTGCACACGGTGACCGCCCGCCCTTCTCTCCACATCGTTGTCTCCCCGCCCCAAGGATCCCCTAAGTGTCGTCCGCACTGCTCAGCCCGCAGCATGTGAGTTCGCACTCTGCTGTGTAACCTGCAGTGCTTGCTGGCTAAGGTGTCCGAACCTCCTACACAGGAAATGACAGGCCTGAGCCCCTCACGACCGCTCATCTCTAAGTCCTTCCCACAAAGAGCTTGTCCGGTTTGTCAGCGGAGGGCAGTGCCCCCACGTTCTCAGGGCTCCCTCGGTTCCCCTGCGGTCCTCGCAGGCGTTTCTAGGCCTTTCTCCCCGGCTGCTCCGAGTCCTGCTCAAGGGCCTGCGATTTCCATGAGGGTGCCGCCCCCGGCGGACATCCAAACTGGAGTCCCAGCCTCAACGGCTAAGAGCCAGGAGGCAACCAACTGGCCAGCCCAGCTCAGGGTAGAGGCAGAGCTAGTGGGGCAGAGGGCTGAGCTGGGCAGCGTGAGCCCTGGGAGGACCTGCGTCCTTTCTCCGACTGGCGGGATCCAGACCGCAGTCACGTGTCGTCAGGCGTGGAAGGACTCGTGCGCCGCGTGGAGGCCAGGGTTCCTGCCAGCCCTGGTTCCAGGCTCTCCCTTTAAATGACAACCATTTGTCCTGACGTAAAGCGTGGCCTCTAGTAAAGCCATGCAGGGAAATGGGGGTCTTCTATTCATGTGCTGAGTTGGCAGATGCTTTACCCGTAAGGCAGTGGTTCTCAACCTTCTGGCCCTTTAAATACAGTTCCTCATGTTGTGACCCAACCATAAAATTATTTTCGTTGCTACTTCATGACTGTAATGTTGCTACTGTTATGAATTGTAATGTAAATATCTGATATGCAGGATGGTCTTAGGCGACCCCTGTGAAAGAAAGGGTCGTTCGACCGCCAAAGGGGTCACGACCCACAGGTTGAGAACCGCTGCTGTAAGGTCAGTGTTAGCCTGTACATGGGGTGAGTCAGCTTCCAGAAGAGTGTCATTTTATCCTGTTGTTTTCTCTTCAGACTGTGTCTGAAGCAGAACCCCAGCTCCCAGCACTTGAGAGCTTTCATCGGGGTTTAAGAACCTCCTTTCTATTGTGCTAAAGGCGGAACAATGGATTGTTTCGGGGGCTGCTTTGTACGGGTATAAACAGGCTTTGGTGGCTGCGCGGCTGTGTTTGCCACCTAGATGGGTTTTAGATGGAGGAAGAAAGTAATTAAGAAGTTGGACACTTGCCAATTTGCATATGGCGCTCGTTTGGGATACTGGAGCGAGTGTTGGTATGCCAAATGTTTGGGGGTGAGGAAGAGTGAGAAAGAAGCGGGAGTGGAAACAAAGGCAGCGAGAGCGAGCGGTGGTTTATCTGCGCAGCCGGCAGGCGGGGCGCCGTTATTCTCTTGGCTGACTTTCAACAAACAAGCAAACCGGCAGCGGCGCTCCTGTGACTGGGGCCTGAATAAAAATGTTGTGACAATTGAGAGAATTGAAAGAGGAGGGAAGATGGGTTTAGTGTCAGCTGCAATTAGATAATCAAAGCTTCCCAATCCCCGCCGTGGGCGCCTCCCCCCGCTGCAGGGGTGGAGCGGGGCCTCCCGGAGAGGAAGGGCTGCCAACCCTGCCCGCT